CCACTTTTCTAGTAGCATTCCCCGTTCTTTCCAACTCATCAGCTTGGGATTGTTATTTCTGTTTTACTGACATTAAACATAAGAAAGGTAAATTAGTAGTTTGATTAATTCAGAACGATCAAGATTCTGTAGTGTATTTTTCTAGTACTTGTTCTCTTTGACTTAGCTACCAAACAACAGCAAAGTCTCAAATCCATAATAAAGCAAATCTCTAAAGGATTCAAGACCAGATAGGAGGTGAAACTTGTTGCTAGGAAGCGATTTCAGGGCTACTACCTCAGAAGAAGATGCTTAAGAAATGTAGCTTTTTTTGTTGTTTTTTGTTTTTTGTTGTTGTTGTTGTTGAGATGGAGTCTTGCTCTGTCGCCCAGGCTGGAGTGCAGTGGCCGGATCTCAGCTCACTGCAAGCTCCGCCTCCCGGGTTTACGCCATTCTCCTGCCTCAGCCTCCCAAGTAGCTGGGACTACAGGCGCCCGCCACCTCGCCCAGCTAGTTTTTTGTATTTTTTTTGGGTAGAGACAGGGTTTCACTGTGTTAGCCAGGATGGTCTCGATCTCCTGACCTTGTGATCCGCCCGTCTCGGCCTCCCAAAGTGCTGGGATTACAGGCTTGAGCCACCGCGCCCGGCCTTTTTCAGTATTTTTTAAAATGACATTTTGTAACTGGTGATTTATTTAGATTAAGACTTCCATTTTAGAGCCTGAATTATCAGTAACATAGAAAGATAGAAGAGAAACCAGTACAAAAGATCAAGAGACAAAGTATAAGATTTGAATGAGGTAAGAAAAAAGGGATAATTTTCAGTTACATTTTCTAATACAGGTAAGGCAGACACCATAAGGAGGATGCTCAAGAATGACTGAAAATAGGCAAAAGGAGAAAGCACACTTCTAGGAATATACATCCTATGATTGTGACCAATGGTTACAGAAAACCTTGCTAGGAGTAGTCAATCAGTAAAGAGCCCATTTACTAATGTATTTAGGATAAGTTGGTGTGTTGAAATTATAAGGATGATTTAAAGGTATTGCCTTACTAACGAATGAATGTAAAAATCAGAACAATCCAATAATAATATAAACTGCCACTTACAGAGCATATTCTATAAGTGAGGAGCCCATATATGTCCAGGCCTCATTATCTTTATTTTTAATATGAGGAACTAAGGCTAAGAAAAGTGAAGTAACTAGCTCAGGATGCCACTGTTGGAAACCAGTAGAACAGGACTGGGAGGGCTGTTCCTACATACTACTCTGCATTTCCCAAGTTACCAAGTATAGATATGCCAATTTCAGCTGCTTCCTGACTGGCCAAACCAAACGTGCAATTAGTTCATTTGACAGGTTGGCTTTTACAATGGAGAGGGGTCAGGCACGGTGGCTCACACCTGTAATCCCAGCACTTTGGGAGGCCGAAGCTAGTGCATCGATTGAGCCCAGGAGTTTGAGAACAGCCCGGGCAACATGGTGAAATCCCATCACTATTTTATATACGTATATTATATTATATATATATTATATATATCTTATATATGTTATATATAATATATATAATTTTTTAAAAATTTAAAAAATAAACAATGGAGAGGGGTCTGCTGCTTGGTGATAGTGTGATCATCAAAGAAATTGGCTGAATTTTTGTTGTGTTCCTAAGTTGTATTTTGATCTTAATTTTATCTCCTAATAGGTTTTTGTACATAAGAGAAAACTCACTTTGGCAAGGCTGAATAGAGTAGATATTAAAAGTAAGGGACTTGACTTAGAATCCGAGTGCTGACTGTGTGAACTTGGACAAATTATGTAACATATCTAAGCCTCTCATGTCTCCTCTGTAAAAATACTGTAACAATAATTCCAATCTCATAGGGGTCCTAGAAAAACAAAATGAAATAATGCATCTAACATACTTACCATAGTCTCTGACATGTGATAAGTCCTCAATATAAAGTAGCTGGTATCATTATGACTCCAATTTTTATTATTTTCAAATAATTTGGAAAGATTTCAATAATGCCTTATATTTGATAAGTGATTAAATTTTATAAAATACTTTCAAAATCACATTTTATTCCTGCCATGATGGCTATAACGTAGGTAGAACAAGTGTTACTACATTTTACTATTATGTAAATTAAGGCTTGGAGAGAAAAACGTATCTTATGAGCTATAAACTAGTTTTCCTAGATTCATAAATGCCCTGAATGATTTCATTATTGAGTTAGAAAATTATCATCAGAATTTGTAGGAAACACTGCTATTATATATAAAATTATTTATGTAAAATGCTTTTTACAGATCTTGAAAATGAGCCACGAAAAAAATGAAATGTTTGAAAGTGAGTGGTCAAAAGAGAGAGAGAGAGAGAAGCAGTTGGCATCTGGTCTTGACACTGCAGAGAAGGCCTTGAAAGCTGAAAGTGAGGTATTACCATTCAGGAAGCTATTTTCTTCTTGTTGTAGTTCTAATTTAGGGATTTCATGTTATCATTTTAAAATGAAGTATAACTGTACATCTCAGCTTGGGATGCCATGACCAAATACCACAGACTAGGTGGCTCAAACAACAGAATTTTATTTTCTCACAGTTATGGAGGATGGGAAGTTCAAGATCAAGGTGCCAACCGAGTCAGTTCCTGGTGAGGGTTCTCTTCCTGGCTTGCAGATGGCTACCTTCTTGCTCTGTCCTCACGTGACAGAGTGAGCAAGCTCTGGTGTCTCTTCCTCTTACTATAAAGGCACTAACCCTATTGGATTAAGGCCCCACCCTTCTATCCTCATTTGACCTTTATCACCTCCCTATCAACCCTATCTATCTCCAAATACAGTCCATATTGGAAATTAGGGCTTCAACAATATGAGTAGGGAGGGAGAGCACAATTCAGTCCATAGCACTATAGAATATGTGTTTCTATAATAATAATGCGGTAGCTCTGTTGTTTCTCCAAGCTGAGTTCTAGCACTAATCAAAGAGTCCTTTATTTAGCAGATGTTTGATTGTTGTAGTGTTAGGCTTATCTCTCTTATAAAGTCATGGACTTATCTCTCGTTTTAACCTCTTGTCCTGCCATCTTGGAAAGATCTATCAGGAGATACAATCAGCCTATATTTTGAAAAGAGACCTGGAAGTTCATAGAAGTCGAAATCAGTAATTTAGAGGATAGTGACACTCAATCAGTTTATAGTTTGCAGTGCTTCTAATCTCATCCTAATGACCTACAGGAATTTTCAGTGAAATAAGATAGGAAATCTTGTCATTTACCCTCTTCCCGTGGTTTTGGGAGGCCACCCTCTACCTTCTTGCCTTTTGTCTAAGCCTTTCTAATCAGCATTTACCTTCCACTTTGACTTCAAGTCTTCGGGAAAATACCAAGCAGCTCCTCTCCTAAAGTAAATTTTATATAACCTATTCCCTTCATTGAGCACCACAGACTGACTCTCAACCCAAAGTCTTCCACCAATCAATCAGTGCACATCCTGTGTCATCAGTGTAAAAATCTGATAAAAATCTGCATTTAGGCTGGGCACGGTGGCTCACGCCTGTAATCCCAGCACTTTGGGAGGCCGAGGTGGGTGGATTACCTGAGGTCAGGAGTTCGAGACCAGCCTGACCAACACAGAGAAACCCTGTCTCTGCTAAAAATACAAAATTAGCCAGGCGTGGTGGTGCATGCCTATAATCCCAGGTACTCCGGAGGCTGAGGCAAGAGAATCGCTTGAACCTGGTTGCAGTGAGCCGAGATCACGCCATTGCACTCCAGCCTGGGCAACAAGAGCGAAATTCCATCTCAAAAAAAAAAAAAAAAAAAAAAGAAATCTACATTTAGCCAAAGTGTTTTCTCTCATGGATATATATTTCTAAAAATCAAGCTGGGCACAGTGGCTCACATCTGTAATCCCAGCACTTTGGGAGGCTGAGGCAAGAGGATCACTAGGAGTTCGAGACCAGCCTAGGCAACATAGTGGGACACTGTCTCCACAGAAAAAAAAAAAAAGAAAAAAAATTTAAGTTAGCCAGGTGTGGTGGCATGTGTCTGTAATCCCAGTTACACAGGAGGCTGAGGTGGGAGGATCACTTGAGCCCAGGAGGTGAAGGCTGCAGTGAGCTGTGATTGCACCACTGCACTCCAGTGAGAGTGAGACCCTGTCTCAAAAAAGAAAAAAAAAAGGAGAAAGAGAAAAAACATCAGAGGATTAAAGAAAATCCTGGTTAATTAAGTCACTGAATATAATTAAATAAGCATAATTTGTAGTTAGGAACACAGAGTTTAAGCTGTGCATCATGGCCCCCTTATAGTCCCAGGTACTTGGGAGGCTGAGACAGGAGGATGGTTTGAGCCCAGAAGTTGAGGACTATAGTGCACCATGATCACACCTGTGAATAGCTACTGCACTCTAGCCCGGGCAACATAGTGAGACCGCATCAATATAAATAAATACATTTTTTTAAAAAAAACCACAGAGTTTAAAGTCTGACAGATTTATGGATTTGGAATCTCAGCTTTATACTTCCTGGTTATGTGAATTTAGCAGGTCACTTAAGATCTCTGAGCCTTACTTTCAACAATTCCCGTATAAGGTTATCAGAACATTAAAGGTAAACCACATAGCACTTTGTTCTATAAATGGTACTTCTAAAAAGATACATTTTAGAAACAGATAATATAACTATTGGCAGTCGTTGCAAGCATTGCCAAAGAATTTACCTGTATATAAGCCTTGCTTAATGTAGGAAGGACTCTAGAAACTAAATCTTTCAACCTGTGAATGATAGAAACTAAGAATGCTCAGTTTATTTAATTGATTTAATAATTGATTTAATTGATTTATGTAAACTTTGTTTTAACTACTAAGAAAGGCATCGGTCTGCCAGAAGGATAGGTTGGAATATTTAAAACAAAAAATGTGTCAGGACCATTTCAAGATTCATTCGTAGAAGTATTATATCTTTTATGGGGAAAATAGTCTTATTTTGTTTTACTAAATGTCTTCATTTCTTAATCAGGAATTGCAAAAATCAAAGTCAGAGCTTATATGCCTTTATAATGAAGTTCACAATCTCCCAGGGGCATCAGAAAGCAGAGACCATTTTTTAATAGCATGTGACCTGTTACGAAGAGAGAATTCTGAATTAGAAACAAAGGTGAGACTGAGTTAGGTATTTAAATGTTCAATATTTAACGTAGCTTTTATGAGGATAGGATACAAGGAAATTAATTTTAAGCATCAGATGATTTGGGAATTGGAGTTTCTTCTATTTTTATAGCATAAATTGCCATATACTGCCATATACTGTGGATTATGAGTCAAGCTATACGTCAGGATAAGTATTCAGACTTCAACCAGTACTTGGCAATTAGGATAAATCTGCGATTTTTTTTACTTTAAATCAGCTTCCCACCAACTTAATTTTTGGAGCACATATTATAGTGTAAAATATTTATTTAAATGTCTTCAATTAAAAAATTTAGGATCAAAGTGTCTTTCTCAGTTACACTGAAAATTGGGCTTAGAATTAGGAAAATGTTCAAATATCCTGATTCAAGCTTGTTCCCTAAGTTTAAAAATGGCTTCCAGGGAGATTGCTTGCGCCCAGCTGTAGCGTGCTATGATTGTGCCTGTGAATAGCCACTGCATTTCAGCCTGGGCAGCATAGTGAGACCACATCTCTTGGAAAAAAAAAAAAAAAAAAAGGCTACCTGACCAGGGCAAAGAATTCTTATCTAGTCCAATACTAGACTGAAAGGTTGCCTGTATAATTTCTAGAGTCCCACCTATTAGGTTATCACTATCACCTCCTGGCTGAAAATTCCCTTCCTCAATCACTCTTTTGACCTAGACTAAAGATTAAGGAGCAAAGTCTTGAATACAGCAGTTAAAATATATTAGGCCATATTTTAATGTCATATGTAAGGTGAATAACTAAATCAAAGCCTAATTTAAGCTGTGTGTAGTTACCCCAGAAAATCAGGAGCAGGTTGCTGAGGGATTGGTACATAGATCAGATGGCATGTGACATGGGAGGGAAAGGTCCAGAACATAGGGTCTGCTGCCTGGGAGAGTAAATATGTAGAGCTTAATATACAACCTAGCCTTTTTTGTGGGACCTTGTCAGCAAGGTAAGTTATCATCATGTTGTACAGTTAAAGGACCATGCCTTTTAAAACATCATTGACAAAGTTAACAACAGATGAGCTGAAATGAGAAGAATATAATATAAAATGAAGAGATCCAAATCTGCTCTTCTGGTGATCTGGGTCTCCTTTTTTCTTAAACTTTTTATGTTGAAATAATAGCAGACTCACAGAAAAAAATATGAAAGTATAAAGAATTCCCATATACTTTCACTCTTCCAAATGTTAACATGGTATCGTGTTTACCTTATCACTGTCTCTCTTTCCCTCTACACACACACACACACACACACACACACACACACACTGATAGTTTTTTTGTAAACCCTTTGAGAGTAAGTTGGAGACATAATCTCCTTTACCCTTAAATATTTCCATGTGGGTTTACTAAAAACAATAACATCTCCTATTACCACAGTACAAGTCTCAAAATCAGGAAATTGACATTGACACAATACTATTATCTAATCTATAGTTCATATTCAGATTTTACCAATTATTCCCCTCTATTGCAAGAGAATAACTTTTTTCCTATCTGAGATCCAACCCAGGATCATACATTACATTTAATTGTCATGTCTCTATAGCTCCTTCAATCTGCAAAAGTTCCTCAGTCTGTCTTTGTCTTTCATGACTTTGATATTTTTGAAGAGTACTGTCTTAGTCAGTTTGGGCTGCTATAACATAATACCATAGACTGGGTAGGTTAAACAACAAATACTTATTTCTCTCAGTTGTAGAGGCTGGGAAAAATCAAAGATCAAGATGGCATATTCAGTGTCTGGTGAGGGCATTCTTCCTGATTTGCAGACAGCTGTCTTCTCATTGTATCGTCACATAGCCAAGAGCAGAGAGAGAGAGTATAAGCTCTTTCCTGTCTCTTCTCATAAGGGCACTACTACCATCCTGAGGGCTGCACCCTTGTGAATTAATTACTTGCCAGTGGGTCCTCCTAATACCATCCCATTGGGGGTAAGGCTTTCAACATATGAGCTTTGAGTCAACACAAACATGCAGTGTATAACAAGACCATTGATTTTGAAGAATGTCTCTTAATTTGGATTTGTCTGATGTTTTCTCACAATATAATTCAGATTACTCATACTACAGAGATAATGCTGTATCCTTCTCAGTGTATTTTATCAGGAGACATGACATTTTTTTTCTATTACTTATGATATTAACTTGGATCATTTGGTTAAGGTACTGTCTGCTAGATTTCTCCACTACAGAGTTATTACTTTTGTCTTTGCAATTCATAAATATCTTTTGGGGAGATACTTTGAGACTATGTGTTATGTTTCCCATCAAACTTTTACTCATTGAAAGTTTCTGTTTTGAATCTTTGATTTTTAAATTATATTCTAGTTTTTCTTCAGAATATAGAGTGCTTTAGACTTAAAGATAGTCTTGCTAAAGAAGTTGTATGTATTTGCTGAATCCCTCATTTTACAGGCTGTCATTTTGTTTGGGTTACAACGTCTAGACTCATACAGAATTTTAGAACTGAAAGGAGTATGATCATGTAGGCCAACTCTTTCAGTTTACACATAAGAACACCAAGGCCCAGGGATATTAGACTGCTGCCGAGTTACGTGGTAATTCTCAGCCTATGCTCTTTCTACCCTAGCCTAAGGCCTCAATCAGAAAGTGGAACCATCAGCTTAATTCTTATGCTACTTAAACATGGCTGATTATTAAACTGAGCTGTATCACTAAGATACAATTTTGGTAGGAAGAAGTCTGGAACAGAGTTGGTCCTGTTCCACAATATCCATGTCATGGAGGGTCTGATGGCTTTAACTTTCTTTGTTATAAAGAATAAAGCTTCTACTCACTTAAGATATACACTACTTTGTCATGTGAGAATTCAGAATACCTAGAAAATGCTCTGTGTTAGTGTCACCATCCTCTTCAGAAACCCTCAGCAGCTTTCAGTTTGCTATAACATCAAATCTAAACTCCACTGTTTTATCTTTTTTTTTTTTTTTTTAAATTCCGATGAGGTCTCTCCATCACCCAGGTTGGAGTGCAGTGGCAAGATCATAACTCACCTCCCGCTCCTGGCCTCAAGTGATTGTCCTGCCTCAGTCTCCCGGCACCACACCTGGCTAATTTTAAATTTTTCTTTAACAAAGACAGGGTCTCCCTATTTTGCCAGGCTGCCTTTCTTTACTTCTTAAGAGACTAACATTTATTATCTGTAATGTTTACTTTTTTACAATGACCACAAAAATTAGTGATTAAGTAGCATTTTGGAATATTTTTTCCTGCATACAAAAATAATGCAAGCTCATTAAGAAAATTGTCCTTTATGTTCCTTTATAATCTGACCTCTCCCTTCAATCTTGCCTTATTCCTTCTGAGTAGCTGGGACTACAGGCACCTGCCACCACGCCCAGCTCATTTTTTGTATTTTTAGTAGAGACGGGGTTTCACTCTGTTGGCCAGGCTGGTCTTGAACTCCTGACCTCATGATCTGCCTGCCTCAGCCTCCCAAAGTGCTGGGATTACAGGTGTGAGCCACCGCAACCAGCCTTCTTTTTTTCTTTTTTCCCTCCTTCCATCCTTCCCTCCCTCCCTCACTTCCTTCTTTCCTTCCTTTCTTTTCTTTCTTTCTCACTCAGTTTTCCAGGCTGGAGTGCCATGGCATGATCTTGGCTCACTGCAATCTCCACCTCACAGGTTCAAGTGATTCTCATGCCTCAGCCATCCAAGTAACTGGGGTTGCAGGCAGGTACCACCACACCTGGCTGATTTCTATTTTTAGTAGGGATGGGGTTTCACCATGTTGGCCAGGCTGGTCTCAAACTCCTGCAATCTTGCCTTATTCCTGCAGCTCCTTACTTTGTAGCCTCTATTCCAATGAAATCATCCTTCTTACTTTCCCCCAAATTACTCTATACTCCGTTCTACGTCAGTGCCTTTGACCATACTGCTCCCCATGCTTAAAATGTGCTATTTGTAGTCTCTTCTCTTATCCATATCTTCCCAACTTGACTAATTCAAGACCAACCTTCTCCCCTAGAAAGATTATAGTCCATATGAAATTACATGGATTTTACGAGATTAGAATCCATTTTACACACTGTAGTTTCTCTTCAGAGAATTGAAAAGGCGTAGGAAACCAAAGGGATCTCTTAAAGTAAACTTAAATTGATCTTTGTAATTAAATCCATTGTGTTCTTAGAATCAAACATGTAGAAGCTTTGCATTTTCAGACAGCCTCAGGATATGAGTCAGGCAGGCAGTTGTCTACCTTAGCACAATACTTTGATGGGGATTCATTTTCCTTTCTTATTTTTTATTCCATTCTATTTGTTTGTTTATTTGGGTACAGACACATGGTCTTGCTATGTTGCTTAGGCTGGACTCAAACGCCTGGCCTCAAGCAGTCCTCCCACCTCAGCCTCCCAAAGTGCTAGGATTACAGGCATGAGCCACTGCACCTAGCCCATCTTCCTTTCTTAGACTCATTCCCCACCCATCCTTTCTACTCCCTGAAGGAAATGTTTTTTCATTTTATATGAAGATATAGAGTAACCTTACAGGAAAGGAAATCTTTAGAATCTGTTTGTCAAAACAAAACAAAAAGACTGAACAAATGATTTGCCAAATCACAAAAGGCAGTGACTGTCAAAGCATCTACTTGCAGAGTTACATGGGAGGCTTATTTAAAGTACAGATTTCCATTCTACCCCTTCCCTCGCCCCAGACCACTGATAGTGAATCTCACTCAGGGTAGGGGCTACAATATAAGATTGCATTTTCTTTAACAAATATTTTATTTTTTATTTTTATTTTTGAGACAGGGTCTCACTCTGTCATCTAGGCTGGAGTGCGGTGGCCTGATCTTGACTCATTGCAACCTCCACCTCCCAGGCTCAAGCCATTTTTCCATCTCAGCCTCCTGAGTAGCTGGGACTACAGATGCACACCACCACCATGCCCAGCTAATTTTTCATAGAGACAGCGTCTTTCCATGTTGCCCAGGCTGATCTTGAACTCC